GTTGATTAGCATTTTCTGTTGTGTTTGTCATCTTTAGAAACGTGACTGGCAGTTGGTGATGGCTGTTTGAAGTGTGCATTGGTTGGCTTTGATGCGTGAGGATGAAAGGAGCATTCAGATATTACTTGAGGATCATTTAAAAATGAATTTGGCTTCATCTGCAGGCGACTGAAAGGCGACAAATGAGAAATTGTTGGTAAAATGTGATTCAGGATACAATGACACAAGAACAACAAAATGCAATTTTGCATGTTCAAGACAAAAGAGCAGTTCAAGAATTTAAGGAAATACCTTAAAGCTAGAATCCTTAATTGAAACAATAACAAAGCCACTCCCCGCTTCTGTTTTGGAAAAAAACTGAGAAATGCAACCACTCTTAAATTCATAGACAGAGATATGGATACAAGGACTAACTATCCATGATATCAACATTAGAGTTTAAACCATGTTTTGAGGCTATACAGTGTTTGTTTAAATGTACATTGTTTACAAATATTTCAGTAAAACAATATTATATTTTGGGTTCTGATGTGGTACGACAGTTGAACTAAGTTCATGAGGCATTAATAAGTTATATATATACAGTGGGGAGAACAAGTATTTGATACACTGCCGAGAGACTGTGAGAGACGGAATCTAAAACAAAAATCCAGAAAATCACATTGTATGATTTTTAAGTAATTAATTTGCATTTTATTGCATGACATAAGTATTTGATACATCAGAAAAGCAGAACTTAATATTTGGTACAGAAACCTTTGTTTGTAGGTCTTGACCAGGTTTGCACACACTGCAGCAGGGATTTTGGCCCACTCCTCCATACAGACCTTCTCCAGATCCTTCAGGTTTCGGGGCTGTCGCTGGGTATGGAGGTGGACAGGTGTCTTTTATACAGGTAACAAGTTCAAACAGGTGCAGTTAATACAGGTAATGAGTGGAGAACAGGAAGGCTTCTTAAAGAAAAACTATCAGGTCTGTGAGAGCCGGAATTCTTACTGGTTGGTAGGTGATCAAATACTTATGTCATGCAATAAAATGCAAATTAATTACTTAAAAATCATACAATGTGATTTTCTGGATTTTTGTTTTAGATTCCGTCTCTCACAGTTGAAGTGTACCTATGATAAAAATTACAGACCTCTACATGCTTTGTAAGTAGGAAAACCTGCAAAATCGGCAGTGTATCAAATACTTGTTCTCCCCACTGTATATATCATTCATTTAGAAGTCCAAAAATGGATGTAGCAACTAAGGATTGTAGCTTTAACTTTAATTGATTAAAACAATCAGTCACTGTTGGTAAACAAATAAATATAAGAGTATCTGCGTCTATGACAGACTGTTTGTTAGTTATGAATCGTGATGTTTATACAGTGAGGGAAAAAAGTATTTGATCCCCTGCTGATTTTGTACGTTTGCCCACTGACAAAGAAATTATCAGTCTATAATTTTAATGGTAGGTTCATTTGAACATTGAGAGACAGAATAACAACAAAAAAATCCAGAAAAACGCATGTCAAAAATGTTATAAATTGATTAGCATTTTAATTAGGGAAATAAGTATTTGACCCCCTCTCAATCCGAAAGATTTCTGGCTCCCAGATTACTTTTATACAGGTAACGAGCTGAGATTAGGAGCACACTCTTAAAGGGAGTGCTCCTAATCTCAGCTTGTTACCTGTATAAAAGACACCTGTCCACAGAAGCAATCAATCAATCAGATTCCAAACTCTCCACCATGGCCAAGACCAAAGAGCTCTCCAAGGATGTCAGGGACAAGATTGTAGACCTACACAAGGCTGGAATGGGCTACAAGACCATCGCCAAGCAGCTTGGTGAGAAGGTGACAACAGTTGGTGCGATTATTCGCAAATGGAAGAAACACAAAAGAACTGTCAATCTCTCTCGGCCTGGGGCTCCATGCAAGATCTCACCTTGTAGAGTTGCAATGATCATGAGAACGGTGAGGAATCAGCCCAGAACTACACGGGAGGATCTTGTCAATGATCTCAAGGCAGCTGGGACCATAGTCACCAAGAAAACAATTGGTAACACACTACGCCGTGAAGGACTGAAATCCTGCAGCGCACGCAAGGTTCCCCTGCTCAAGAAAGCACATATACAGGGCCGTCTGAAGTTTGCCAATGAACATCTGAATGATTCAGAGGAGAACTGGGTGAAAGTGTTGTGGTCAGATGAGACCAAAATGGAGCTCTTTGGCATCAACTCAACTCGCCGTGTTTGGAGGAGGAGGAATGCTGCCTATGACCCCAAGAACACCATCCCTACCGTCAAACATGGAGGTGGAAACATTATGCTTTGGGGGTGTTTTTCTGCTAAGGGGACAGGACAACTTCACCGCATCAAAGGGACGATGGACGGGGCCATGTACCGTCAAATCTTGGGTGAGAACCTCCTTCCCTCAGCCAGGGCATTGAAAATGGGTCGTGGATGGGTATTCCAGCATGACAATGACCCAAAACACACGGCCAAGGCAACAAAGGAGTGGCTCAAGAAGAAGCACATTAAGGTCCTGGAGTGGCCTAGCCAGTCTCCAGACCTTAATCCCATAGAAAATCTGTGGACGGAGCTGAAGGTTCGAGTTGCCAAACGTCAGCCTCGAAACCTTAATGACTTGGAGAAGATCTGCAAAGAGGAGTGGAACAAAATCCCTCCTGAGATGTGTGCAAACCTGGTGGCCAACTACAAGAAACGTCTGACCTCTGTGATTGCCAACAAGGGTTTTGCCACCAAGTACTAAGTCATGTTTTGCAGAGGGGTCAAATACTTATTTCCCTCATTAAAATGCAAATCAATTTATAACATTTTTGACATGCGTTTTTCTGGATTTTTTTGTTGTTATTCTGTCTCTCACTGTTCAAATAAACCTACCATAAAAATTATAGACTAATCATGTCTTTGTCAGTGGGCAAACGTACAAAATCAGCAGGGGATCAAATACTTTTTTCCCTCACTTGTAACTGCTCTGCTGTTAATATAATGAATTATTGTTTTCTGACATGACTTACTTCAAGCCATCTTAAGGAAAATAAAATCACAAAAACACTGCCTCATAAACACTGCATGATATTATCTTGGAATTAATCAATTATAACAGAAATTCAATGACAAAAACAGCTCCTATTTACTTTGAAAAATTAGCTCAAATGAAACAACATAAATGTCACTTAAAGTACTTTCAATTAAAATAATAATTGAAATGTTGCTATTAAGATTAAGGCAAATTGAAAGAATCCATCAGATAGTTATGTAGGTAAATAAGACTTCAATCATTTTCATAGTAGTAGTTATTTTCTGGACTACAGTATGAGAATGTTAACATAAATTATTTCAAAATGCTGAGGGTTTTTATTTAATTTCGAGGTGTTGCTATTTTATGTGATATGAATGTGTTTATTAGTCTGAGAAATACAACATGTTCCTTACTCTTTTCAACTGAGCTAAAACCCAACAGTATATGTTATTTTAATCAGTATATTCATCTTATGATTAACATTTAAACTAAATTGGAGAGAAAAAAAATTAGAAATACAAATTGTTTTAGCTCATACAGTAACTAATCAAACAAATAACTTCAAGAAAATACTATATGAAGATTTTGAGAGTGTCTGAATACCACAACATATAAAATTATTAGGGAATCAAACATGGACGAATTCTTCATAGCATAAGCAGCATTGCCTCAAATTTTCAGATATCAAAATATGTGAAAAACTAATTGTAGGCCTAGTACTTCTGTCATGATGGACAACTTACACCAGAGAACAAAATAAATGTGAAGTTCTCAGTTGCCTTTTTTTGTGATTTGAGGAGACTTGTTTCACTGTGCTTTCTGGAAACAGAGAGGAGTCACATTACATTGCTTACACTGCCACCTACTGGCCAAAACAGCTCAAAGCTTCTCCCATGTCCTCTTTCAGTATGCGGATCCTTTGGTTCTTTGATTAGGCAGTTTCATGGTCCCCTTGTCCTCTCAAGATATCGTAGTGCTGCTAACCTTCCTAGAAGCCACTCTAGCACAGGTGGGAGTGCAAATGTTCATAAACGGCTTTCCAAACGTCTTTATTTGTAGGGTATTTTGCCTATTTCGTAGCAGCAAAGATAAAAACATAATTCGATAAAGGTAGACATAATTACCGTAGGTGCATATCATAGTTCCAAAGATGAGCATGGTACTGTATGCTCTCCATAGGCCTAGCTGTGCATTTCTACTTCCTGGGTCACCTGTGTGCCTAAAGACACATACTGCAACCAGTGACCCATGACCCATAAATAGAGTTTATGATTGAATTTCTATTTAAAAAATATATAAATATGTTATTTTGAGCATAATATAACTAATCTGACGTCGAAAGTGAACTGGTATAGATTGTATCACATTGTAGTTATTTTCACTAGATAATACCTGGAGGTTTTTGCTGCCAGCTGCACCCTAACTATGACAGAGGAAGTCATGGGGTTTGGCAGGGTTCCACACAACCACACTATTCTATGAAAACAAGTTACACACAATTTCACAAAAAGCTTTGCATCCATGCACTCATGCCATACACTGCACTCATAGGTGTCACAAGAGCACAGGACAGATTATGAAAACTGGCACTGAGGTGATTTGTATATGACAAAAAAGTTCAAAATAGCAACTGCATGATAGGCTTACATAGAAAAATGCCTTCACAATATGCACATTTTGAATATATAAGCTGTGTCAAACAGCCAGGATTTGCTGGGGATCCAGATAATGCCCTTCAGAGGTCGACTGTGATGAGTGCTCAATGTCACATCCTGGCTCTTCTCCTGTGCAACACTGATGCGACATTCCTGCATTCCTGCGATTAGGCTACTCCTTGACCAGGGACGGTTTTGTTATAAGCACATAATGGTGGGGAGTTGTGATTAGGTGGGACGACCTGATTCTAGATCGGTTGTTAACGGCGGCGGGTTTTAAGCCTACTGATGATGCACTATGCGGACGTAAAATGATCAACAGCGCGTGCGCCACAAAGTTTAACGCAAGAGTCGTGGCTCTTTTTTCAAACAATTGCGTGACTTCTAGAGTGTGTGACGCTGTGGCACCTCCTCTTACCCCTCCCTTTTGTCCAGTTGACAGGAATCTCCTCAGGCAGGATTGGAAGGCACTGACAGAGGTATGTTGAAATGTAGCTAATATTGTTGCCTATTATGGGGCACTATTGTATCCCTTTTGTGATGGACATTGACCTCTTGGCTTGAGTGGGAAGAGATGACACGCGCATCCACCACGCAATCAGTAACGTTACGTTAGAAGCAGCCCAGGAGGAGAGATGCTAGCTAGCCATCATGCTCTCGAGTAACTAGTTAATACCCTGTGTGCAGTCGTCTGGAGTTGACTGCACGCATTATTATTTGGATTTAATGAGTTTAGGTACTATTCTCTGCAAATTTGATTTAAATTACTAGCTATAGCCAGCGATAATGTGCAGGGTATGCGCTTGTCCCGCTGTCCACCAATTACTTGCTAACCTCAGCAGCTAGCTAGTTTGCTACTTAGTTAGCAAGTAAGCAAAAGATGTTCAAGCACAAGCAGTGACGCTTCTGCCACCTTGTTTCATAACCCCTTGGACATCATCAGGTAGCCAGGCAGAAGAACTGCTCGTACCAGGCAGCAGGTTGCAGATTCTGTGACAACTATCTGGGAAACATTGACATCAAATGTCCATCTCCAGTGCATGTGGACAGTGAAACCACCTGCCTGATACGGATCTGATGTCTGATGCAACAATGCTAACGTTCTCAATTTGGCTAACTGCTTGATCAATCTATCCCAAGGTCCTATCAGTCAGTGTTCCCTTGATATTTATGTTCAGATATGCTTATTTGAAAATTAAATACCGCAAAAATCTAGCTATAGTAAAAGCTATAGTCTGATGAAATTGCATTGACTTTGTGCAATAGAGTATTTCTATCTCTAGAGGGACCAGAAGGACATCTTGCGTGACTTTCCTTGAGGACCCTGTTATGTAGACTAGCTAGTACATTCCTCAAGGCCCCACTGACATTATTCTCTGTATGGCCTAATATTCTAACCTTTCCCACCAATAATGATCCTCAAAGGTTCAGTGCTCCTTCCTGTGTGTGTATTTGTGTAATGTGTGTGTTTGCTCTGTGTGTGAGCGGGATGTGTGTGTGTGTATTCTGGAATGCCTGATGCTTAACACTTCCTGTCCCCTCCATGGTCCCCTTCGAGCTACGAGCGAGTGCCTGTTGGTCACTGAAGATGGCTCGTATTACTGAACTTCAAAGCGTGTAGAAATTATAGATGTGTAATAATTGGTTTTGGGTGTCACTAAACCATGCATTTACACTGAACAAAAATATAAACGCAACATATAAAGTAAAATATATTTTTATTTTTATTTTTCTCATTTTGTGCACAAATTTGTTTACATCAGCATTTCTCCTTTGCCAAGATATTCCATCCACCTGACAGGTGTTACATATCAAGAAGCTGATTTAACAGCATGATCATTACACAGGTGCACCTTGTGCAGGGGACATTAAAAGGGCACGCTAAAATGTGCAGTTTTGTAACAACACAATGCCACAGGTCCCCTGTAGCTCAGTTGGTAGAGCATGGCGCTTGCAACGCCAGGGTTGTGGGTTCGTTTCCCACGGGGGGCCAGTATAAAAAATGTATGCACTCACTAACTGTAAGTTAGTCTCAAGTTTTGAGGGAGCATACTATTGCCAGATAATTAAATGTTCATTTCTCTACCATATGCCACCTCCAACGTCGTTTTAGAGAATTTGGCAGTACGTCCAACCGGCCTCAACCGCAGGCCACGTGTAATCACGCCAGCCCAGGACCTCCACATCCGACTTCGTCACCTGCGGGATCGTCTGAGACCAGCCACCCGGACAGCTCATGAAACTGTGGGTTTGCACAACCAAGGGATTTCTGCACAAACTGTCAGAAAGTGTCTCAGGGGAGCTCATCTGCATGCTTGTCATCCTCACCAGGGTCTTGACCTGACTGCAGTTCGGCGTTGTAACCAACTTCAGTGGGCAAATGCTCACCTTCAATGGCCACTGGCACGCTGGAGAAGTGTACTCTTCACGGATGAATCCCGGTTTCAAATGTACCGGGCAGATGGCGTCGTGTGGGCGAGCAGTTTGCTGATATCAATGTGAACAGAGTGGCCGTTGGGCGGTGGGGTTATGGTATGGGCAGGCATAAGCTACGGTCAACAAACACAATTGGATTGTATCAATGGCAATTTGAATGCACAGAGAGACCGTGATGAGATCCTGAGGCCCATTGTCGTGCCATTCATCCGCTGCCATCATCTCATGTTTCAGCATTATAATACACGGCCCCATTTCGCAAGGATCTGTACACAATTCCTGGAAGCTGAAAATGTCCCAGTTCTTCCATGGCTTGCATACTCCCCAGACATGTCACCCATTGAGCATGTTTGGGATGTTCTAGATCGATGTGTACGACAGCGTGTTCCAGTTCCCGCCAATATCCAACAACTTCGCACAGCCGTTGAATAGGAATGGGACAACATTCCACAGGGCACAATCAACAGCCTGATCAACTCTATGCAAAGGAGATGTGTCACGCTGCATGAGGCAAATGCTGGTCACACCAGATACTGACTGGTTTTCTGATCCACACCCCTACCCTTTTCTTTTAAGGTATCTGTGACGAACAGATGCATGTCTTTATTCCCAGTCATGTGAAATCCATAGATTAGGGCCTAATGAATTTATTTCAATTGACTGATTTCCTTAAATGAACTATAACTCAGTAAAATCTTTGAAATTGTTGCATTTATATTTTTGTTCAGTGTACTACAGGGAGAAAGGTGTAGTAATTATCATTAATATTCTATTAAATGGTGTTTGAAGTAGGTGATTGAGGCTGTAGGCTATGTGGCATGCACTGATGTACAAAATATGGCATTTGGGCTGTAGGCTATTCTATTTGTGAATTAGCATTGTGCACACATGGGTAGAGGGCAAGTGTTCCAGTTTAAGCCTAGTCTTGGACTTAAAAGCAAGATCAATGCCGGCATCCTTTTTGGAATCTGGAACAAGCAGGTTTTTTTTCATGTTACTCAACATTTAGATCTCTGCCCACACATTCTCTCATAGCAGTAGTGGAGGTCATCTAACAAATAATAAAACACATCTAACCTTCAATTTAGAAATCACTTATTGATTCATAAGCTGGCCCTGTTTTGCATTTTAATTTGGCTGTCAGTCCAGTGTATCAGGTTTGGCTGCTGTTGTGAAATCTCTAGCCCGTCAAGGCAAGCACATCACTCTTTTTCTGATGAGTCAGAGCAAACGGGTTAGTCCGTCCAGGCAGATGTGTGAGGCATGTCTGCCTGCCCCTCCCCCCACCGGCCCACCCCATCCATCAATGACCTCAATCTTCTCCTCTCCTATCCCACCTCCTCCCCCACAAGCAATGTTCTCTCCTCAGTTGGTGTGTTAGTGAATGCCTAGCACACTGCTAATGGTTTATCTCACAGAGGTTTGTGCTAAGCAGTAGCCTAACACAAGGCTGTCTCCTCTTTTTTTTTGTATACATTTCTTACAGATAATGGCCGTTCCTCCTACCTATGTTGACCTTGGCAAGTCCGCCAAGGATGTCTTTACCAAGGGATACGGTGAGCACTGAGCAGTACTACTTACTACCCACTATTTTCTAGATCATTCTTCAACTCAGCCTTTGCTCCTGTCCTGCAGAGAATCCGGAGTGGACTTTAGTCGTACTAGCCTAGTGTTATAGCCATTTGGTGAACTCTCTAGTTTAGACTAGCTGTCCTTGGGCAGTTTATTGACTGCGAGGCACACAGCTGCACAGAGCTATTGAGGCCTAGGCCTTACTATGGGGATTCCCAGGTAAATTCCCCAGGCGAGGGTGGTACGACCAGCGGACCAGCACACAGTCTCTCAGAGGGGGATGGGAAGGAATCTGGGGCAGTGAACCATGCCTGACATGACGATGTACTCTAGCATGGAAACTAGGGCCGTGAAGATACCAGTATCGCAATACTCATAGTATCATGGGAAGGAAACAAAACATGAAGCAGATTTAACTTTAGGAAAACAGCCCTAATGTTGGAAACAAACATCATTATGTCATCCAGAGTCACATTTATTTATTTTCCAAGCAATAGCACACTATTTTACAGGTTTTTAAAAAGTTTGACATGCTTTGTGTTTTCATTTTTGCCATTGAAAAATATTGCGATACTGGTCACAGCCCTAGTAGAAACCACATCAAATCAATAAACTCACTCAATCTATCAATGTTATGTAATAGTTATAATGGATGTGTGATAGGCTAGACTGGTATTTCTCAGAGAGGGATTTATTGAACAGTGGTTTACAGTGCATTGGGAAAGTATTCAGACCCCTTGACTTTTTCCACATTTTGTTACGTTACAGCCTTATTCTAAAATTGATTAAATAAAACATTTTCCTCATCAATCAACACACAAGACCCCATAATGACAAAGCGAAAACAGGTTTTTGCATATAAAACAGAAATACCTTATTTACATAAGTATTCAGACCCTTTGCTATGAGACTCGAAATTGAGCTCAGGTGCATCCTGTTTCCATTGATCATCCTTGATGTTTCTACAACTTCATTGGAGTCCACCTGTGGTAAATTCAATTGATTGGACATGATTTGGAAAGGCACACACCTGTCTATATAAGGTCCATCTGTTGACAGTGCATGTCAGAGCAAAAACCAAGCCATGAGTTCGAAGGAATTGTCCGTAGAGCTCCGATACAGGATTGTGTTGAGGCATAGATCTGGGGTAGGTTACCAAAAAATGTCTGCAGCATTGAAGATCCCCAAGAACACAGTGGCCTCCATCATTCATAAATGGAAGAAGTTTGGAACCACAAAGAATCTTCCTAGAGTTGACCGCCCGACCAAACTGAGCAATCGGGGGAGAAGGGCCTTTGTCAGGGAGGTGACCAAGAAGCCGATGGTCATTCTGATAGAGCTCCAGAGTTCCTCTGTGGAGATGGGAGAACCTTCCAGAAGGACAACCATCTCTGCAGCACTCCACCAATCAGGCCTTTATGGTAGACTGGCCAGACGGAAGCCATTCCTCAGTAAAAGGCACATGACAGCCTGATTGGAGTTTGCCAAAAGGCACCTAAAGGATTTCAGACCATTAGAAACATATTCTCTGGTCTGATGAAACCAAGATTGAACACTTTGGCCTGAATGCCAAGCGTCACGTCTGGAGGAAACCTGGCACCATCCCTACGGTGAAGCATGGTGGTGGAAGCATCATGCTGTGGGAATGTTTTTCAGCGGCAGGGACAGGGAGACTAGTCAGGATCGAGGGAAAGATGAACAGAGCAAAGTAGAGAGAGATCCTTGATGAAAACTTGCTCCAGAGTGCTCAGGACCTCAGACTGGGGCGAAGGTTCACCTTCCAACAGGACAACGACCCTAAGCACACAGCCAAGACAACGCAAGAGTGGCTTCGGGACAAGTCTCTGAATGTCCTTGAATGGCCCAGCCAGAGCCTGGACATGAACCCGATCGAACATCTCCGGTGAGACCTGAAAATATCTGTGCAGCGATGCTCCCCATCCAACCTGACAGAGCTTGAGAGGATCTGCAGAGAAGAATGTGAGAAACTCCCCAAATACAGGTGTGCCAAACTTGTAGCGTTATACCCAAGAAGACTCTCTAAGCTGTAATTGCTGCCAAAGGTGCTTCAACAAAGTACTGAGTAAACGGTCAGAATATGTAAATGTTATATATTTATTTTTTAAAATAAATTAGCAAACATTTCTAAAAACTTGTTTTTGCTTTGTCGTGATGGGGTATTGTGTGTAGATTTGATAAGGGGGAAAAAACAATTTCATCCATTTTAGAATAAGGCTGTAATGTAACAATATGGAAAAAGTAATGTGTTTATGTGGTGATAAAATAAGTCTGCAAGAGTCCGCATGCTTATTTTGAAAACGATAAAGCCACGCATTAATGGATTGCTAGGAATGTTAGTGAAAATAATGAACTGAACAGGAATATATCATCAGTTTAAAAGCACTGTTAGAATATATTGTAATTACAACAGTTTGATTTAATTTTCTTCCATGCATCTCAGGTTTTGGTCTCATCAAGCTGGACTTGAAAACAAAGTCAGAGAATGGACTGGTAAGTTCCACTGCAGTCCGTTTACCCCTTGGAGCCAAAAGAGGCACTTGACTGAGTGCTATATGACTAATAATTTAGGTAGTTATCTAGCCCTCTGTCACCATAAAACTTATACAGAACAAAAATATAAACGCAAAATGTAACAATTTCAACGATTTTACTGTTACAGTTGATATGAGGAAATCAGTCTATTGAAATAAATTCATTAGGCCCTAATCTATGGATTTCACATGACTGGAAATACAGATATGCATCTGTTGGTCAAAGATACCTTACAAAAAATGGGCCTCCAAATGGGCTTCAGGGTCTCGTCATGGTATCTCTGTGCATTCAAATTGCCATCGATAAAATGCAATTGTGTTTGTTGTCCGTAGCTTATGCCTGCTCATACCATAACCCCACCGCCACCATGGGGCACTCTGTTCACAACATGGTCTGTGGTTGTGAGGCCCGTTGGATGTACTGCCAGATTCTCTAAAATAACATTGGAGGCGGCTTATGGTAGAGAAACGAACATTCAATTATCTGGCAACAGCTCTGGTGGACATTCCTGCAGTCAGCATGCCAATTGCAAGCTCCCTCAACTTGAGACATCTGTGGTATTGTGTTGAGTGACAAAACTGCACATTTTAGAGTAGCCTTTTATTGTCCCCAGAACAAGGTGCACCTGTGTAATGATCATGCTGTTTAGTCAGCTTCTTGATATGCCACACCTGTCAGGTGGATGGATTATCTTGGCAAATGAGAAATGCTCACTAACAGGGATGTAAACAAATTTGTGCACAACATTTGAGAGAAATACGCTTTTTTTGCGTATGGAAAATTTCTGGGATCTTTTATTTCAGCTCATGAAACATGGGACCAACACTTAACATGTTGCGTTTATATTTTTCTTCAATGTAGTTATCTGACTCATTGACACCTGTGAAAGACCTCTCGGATTGTCCGCGTCACTTGTGTCAAATGCCAATGTGGTCCACAACCATCCAAATCCTCACTAATAATGTCTGATGCTATATAACATGATCTCTTCACTGACCTCTTTTTGACCCCAATCCCAGGAGTTCACCAGCACGGGCTCTGCCAACACGGAGACAAGCAAAGTGGCCGGCACCCTGGAGACCAAGTACAAGTGGGCCGAGCACGGACTGACCTTCACTGAAAAGTGGAACACTGACAACACTCTCGGCACTGCGATCACTGTGGAGGACCAGGTCAGGACTATGTGTTCTTTAGATCAGGGTGTACTCCACTCCATTTTCTTCAATCTGCAATTGTTAGAAGGGTGCTTTAAGCCAAGGAGTAATCCCTTAGTGTAAATATAAAAAAGACCAGCACTCACTGACTTGTTTCATTTATTTATTATATATTTTAAGACAATATATTTCAATAACTTTACATGTTTAGTCTTCCTCGTGTGGGAGTCTCAGTTCCTTACGGGCCCCCCACCCTATTAAGTGGTGAAATGCTCATAGCATCTCATCTGTCTCGGAAATTCCTTTACTAATGAATCATTCATGCTTTCTTAACCTCTCCATCTTTCTGTCATCTTCTCCCTTCAGTTGGCCAAAGGGCTTAAACTGACGTTTGAGTCCTCCTTCTCGCCAAACACTGGGTAAGAAGTGGCTATCCAATTCATTCCGTGAAGATAGCATTTAATTGTTTCTCAATGTTAATTCATTGCAATGAATGATGTCATCACACAATACATGTTGAAAAATATTTTTCCTGCTCAGCTCAATGTAGATTATTGGATGTATTTGCCATCCTGTCACTGTGATTCCTATATTACCTCACACTCACACGTTTTTCCTTCCTTCCATTCCTCACTATCCTCACCTCCAGCAAGAAGAGTGGTAAGATCAAGACTGGCTACAAGAGGGAGCACATCAACCTGGGCTGTGATGTGGACTATGACATCAACGGGACGGCTGTGCACGGCGTGGCGGTGGTGGGCTACGAGGGCTGGCTGGCCGGCTACCAGGTGACTTTCGAGGCCGGGAAGAACAGGGTCACCCAGAGCAACTTCGCCGTGGGCTACAAGACCGACGAGTTCCAGCTCCACACAAATGTGTAAGTAGATGGAATTTAATGAATAGATACATAAATATGGTTCAGGTTGGGCTCCACGCTTCAGCAAACAATGGACGTAAGAAGGGTGCTCAACAACACTGACAGTAAGCCAGTGATGGGGCTTAACAACAATGATAGTAATACAGTGATAGGGCATAGGGACCATAAATATGGTCTTTAAGACACTTATCCAGTATTTTGTAAATGTGGCATACCCCCAACTCTGTTGCAAGCGCCATACTCCAACCAACTGAGCCTTTTGAACCACTAGTCAGTAACATTTTGTGTCCAGCTCTGAACTATGAGAGCTGACGTTGTCTGGACACTAGCAGCTCTAAGCACTTGCTGTCTTTCTGGTTCCCTCAGATGCAGACTGGCAGTTATTTTAGTACCAATGTATCCCACAGTGATGGGATTTGTCAAAGGGCTTTGTCGGTAGGATAGTATAGGATAGTAAGCTAGCCTCCTGCTGCGACCTGGCCTTCCATTCATGATCACTTGTTTTGATGAGGTCAATTAGCTCTGAGACATGGCTATTTAATCCTTTGACAGCTCATCCTTGATATACACTGAGTGTACAAAACATTAGGAACAGCTACTCTTTCCATGACATAGACTGACCAGGTGAAAGCTATGATCCCTTATTGATGTCACCTGTTAAATCCACTTCAATCAGTGTAGATGAAGGGGAGGAGACAGGTTAAAGAAGGATTTTTAAGCCTTGAGACATGGATTGTGTATGTGTGCCATTCAGAGGTTGAATGGGAAGACAAAATATTTAAGTGCCTTTGAACGGGGTATGGTAGTAGGTGCCAGGCGCACCGGTGTCAAGAACTGCAACGCTGCTGGGTTTTTCACGCTCAACAGTTTCCCGTGTGTATCAAGAATGGTCCACCACCCAAAAGACATCCAGCCAACTTGACAAAACTGTGGGAAGCATTGGAGTCAACATGGGCCAGCATCCCTGTGGAACTCTTTCGACACCTTGTAGAGTCCATGCCCCGACGAATTGAGGCTGTTCTAAGGGCAAAAGGGGTGTAACTCAATATTAGGAAGGTGTTCCTAATGTTTGGTACACTCAGTGTATAGGTCTGATAGTTTGATAGTTTAAACAGTGAATATTGATCATCTGATTGCAATTCATGTGATATTAGGTAGTTGTAACAATTCATGTTTTTGTTTTTTAATGAACATGAATACTGGAATGGATAGTAATGTTGCAATATACTTGCACACATGTTAGTTCCCACAGCCTTGTGTATTCAAAGTATAATTCTCATAGTAATGACCAACCATTTTTTCCATGACAGAAATGACGGCACCGAGTTCAAGGGCTCCATCTACCAGAAGGTGAACGACCAGCTGGAGACAGCAGTCAACCTGGCCTGGACCGCTGGCAACAGCAACACCCACTTTGGCATTGCAGCAAAGTACCAGATCGATGCCGACGCATCTTTCTCGGTAAGGGGCCACTCTAGCTAGTCCTCTTACTGGCTGAGACGTGACCTCTGCCTGGGGTCACATTCAGGGCACGAGTAGAGGGACTTACTAGGCTAATATGTAAAATATGATCTCTTGAATTATTGTTGAGTACATTTGAGTCCTATTTTGTTTAATCCCATCATTTCTCCAACAGGCCAATGTGAACAACTCTAGCCTTGTGGGCCTGGGATACACTCAGACTCTGAAGCCTGGTTAGTAATGTTCAATAGTGTTATTTAAAATGTTCTGTGAAATATTATTTTTCTCCATGCCAGTGTAGATGAAATGTGCAGTTGAAATACCTTTCTACTGTATTTACGGCAGAAATGACAGAACAGCAGCTGGCACTTGGTCTTTGACCTCCTCAGCCAGTCAATGAGCCCTGATCTTGTCACTCCCGCTTGTTGATGTCTTGTCTCTGTCTCTCTGTCTACAGGCATTAAGCTGACCCTTTCTGCTCTCCTGGATGGGAAGAACATTAACAGCGGTGGGCACAAGCTCGGTCTCGGCCTCGAGTTTGAGGCATAAGAAGGAAAGGAACACAGCAACAACCCCAAACCTCCAAATATATTTTTTAAAATAGCTATCCTCGCAACCGTGTTTCCCTTACAGTAGATGTGCTTTGGTTGAGGGTGAGGAGGCACATGTGGTCAAATCACACTACAGTTGATATGGCACTTTTACAGGACCATTTCAGATAAAATATTTTGGGTACAGGGCCCAGTTTAGAATAAAACTATAACAGAAGTTTTAAAGGTCTGCAAAACGTAAAAATGAAAAGGTCTGTTAAGGTCTTATGAATTTGTATTTCACTACAATCATGTAAACACTTTAATGTATTTATCTTTGTTTCAAAGCAGATAAGAGAAAATAAGATATTGTAGGTAAAAAACAACAACAGGCATTTGCAGGATTTGGTAAACATACAGTTTACTTTTGGTCCACATGGTGGGGCTGTTGCACAAAACAGATCACTGGGACTGGATCACAACACAACATTCCTTGGCCAAGGTGAAATATTCCTCTGTACTGGAGAGTTCTCTCATTGTAAACCCTTTGACAAAGAAGGGAAGTGTCTAAGATATTAGATTATTATGGGATGGGTAAGTGGTCCTTCACTTAAGCAGCATTAGCTCTGAGGCACTACATAGGGCACTACCTTTTGGGAATAGGGTGCCATTTGGGATAAAACCTCAGTGTTTTTGGCTCACTTGTCTGTGCATTTGGTGTGAATTATCATTTATTACATATAGCAAAAATATTATTTTAACAATGTTCTTGAATACTTAACCCGCCTGTGAAGTTTAAGGCAAACCTTTGTCAATTGTTCCTAAAGAGAAAGGTAACCTGTCGTGCACACTATTCAACATCCCTCTTAATACAAATGCTTTTACAATGAATGGTAGTCTTCCGATGATGGTGTTGGAACAGACAAACTGTGTACCTGACAGTGTTGTTACTCCCTGTTAAATAAAGAACAACATCTTGAGTATGCCTCTGTGCTTTTTTTTCACCCATAATCTTAATGCAATGATAATGTAAATAAAGACCTTGGTTTTGCTGTAGGCCTATATTCATATATACCATAGATTATAACTGTTAATTTCTCTACCATAAGCCGCCTCCAACGTCGTTTTAGAGAATTTGGCAGTATGTCCAACCGACCTCACATCCGCAGACCACGTGTAACCATGTCAGCCAAGGACACCCACATCCGGTTTCTTCACCTGGGGGATGGTCTGAGACCAGACAGCTGATGAAATAGGAGTATTTCTGTCTGTAATAATGCCCTTTCGTGGGGAAAAGCTCATTCTGATTGGCTGGGCCTGGCTCACCAGTGGCTGCCCCCCTGCACAGTCGTGAAAGACATAGATTAGGGCCTAATGAATTTCTTTCAATTGACTGATTTCCTTATATGAACTGTAACTCAGTAAAATCGTTGAAATTGTTGTATGTTGCGTTTATATTTTTGTTCAGTATACATAAAGCTATCTTTCCAACTGATCAGACAGTCCCCACCCAGGTGTCAAATACAAAGGACCATTCAGTTTCTGTTGTCATCTGTTCCACGTCAGCTTTTCACCACGCCCCTCAATAATCACTCACAAACAAGATGGCGACTTGCAGGAAGATGAGACGTAGCTGGAAAATTCACTCTGCATTTTCCGTGTTTATCTTGTTACAACTGTTTCCTCTCAACTGTTTTTCAGCTTCGTTGGGACGCAAAGACGGTATGTTTAATATTCGCCAAGAAGTTACCATTAATTATGGTTAGTTTTATGTTGAGTGCCAGCTAGATGAGCTAACGTAGTTTAGAACGTTAGCCCGCCTTCACCTGAACCAGTATCTCTGCGTTCAGCTTTCACCTAGTTACGGTAGCTAGCTAGCTAATGACCAGCTCCTCCTGTGCCGCCCACTGAGGTATATTGCTGCCGCCTAATGACTTGCCAAGGTGTCAGATGGGGAGCATGGGGAGCATGGCAGCCATCTCTGTCAGAAATAGAAGTCAGGGTTAGGCTTTTACAGACCTAAACGTCTAATCTGTCATCAGTGACCCATTGATCATCACCTAACTAACGTTACAGTTTCCAATCCCAGACACAGAGGGTTCGCTAGCTTGTCTTCAAAGTGAAAGTAAAATATTAATTTGGTCGTTAGCTTACTAGTAGCACATTATTTAGTCTTATAATCATATAATTACTTATTAGAATAGGAATTTAATAGGATCTCTATGGTTAGAATACCTACTTTATAGATACTAACTCTTTGGTGGTAGTAAGCCAGCTACAGTTAGCGAGTTATGTGGGGGTCTTGGACTCTAATTCCAGGTTTGACTGAGAGAAAGGGACTGTCAGGCCATGTGTCCCTCACCAAGTATCGGAAATAATAAGCATTCTGTCAATGAAATGGACACGCTGTTCTCTAAGCAGAGGCCAACTAAGGAAATGTCAACAAAATTATTTCCTTATTACAAGCCTACATATATAAAAAAACATGTTTCTGCCTGTATATGATTTTAATATCAAAATTTTTTACTTGACAATGCTGTATATGATATTGATATAAAGCTTGTCTTCATGGGAATACTTTTCCAATGTCCTTATCGCCTTCTGAAAATGACTTGAGTACAAGAGGAAAAGGATCATATTTCGAGACCAGAGCAGATTTTTGTTTTACAACACTACAACTCTACCGTTATCGTCTCATGCCAGTCATGTCCATTTTGTGCTATAGCCGAACTGTTATGAGTTCCTCTTTTAGGATCATTGTTCCTCTTTTAGGAGCATTGCATGATGCCACAACAGTAGCCCATTCACTGTTTCTGTGTGCCGGCTGCTGAGATTGCCCACATAGTTTCTTGAGTTACGGAAAGAGGCCATCTGTCGACGTGTCATCCTACTGCGTTTAACCTGTTTGGAGAGCAGTGTTTGCAATGTAGGTACTAGTGTTACCAGAACCACGATACCAGAATTTGTATTTCGATACCAGGTTAAGTATCACAATACTCGATACCAAAATGATACCACGGCAAAATAAGGCGTATTAGCCAAAGGCACAGAATGACACTTGATCCAGACATAAAAACTCAGCTACTGCTCTGTTCAATCGTTGGGCATCTTTTGAGTTCAATATCATTACATTAGAAAATGTTTACGTCAATATCTTTCAGAGACAGCAATGTTTAGTATTAATGAATCAATCATACAATCAATTTCGCTTTGTTTTTACCAATCTAACGACATAACATAATGGTAAGAATTTATTTGAATGGTAAAGCTCTATTGATAAACTGAGTAAATCAAGATGTAGCCTAGGCCTATTCACAATACAGGTGAATGCATATTCAGTAGGAGTGTGTGCATGCATTGAGTTATTGAGCTTGTTTTGGCTGATTTTGTGGGGCTACGGATGAAAATCTGTTTCTCTGACATTTGCAAATTGATGTTTGCTTTAGCTGTCAGCTAGCAGAGCAAGGAAAGTTAGCCTACAAAGCTGCAATCTACTTGTATCTTCTTGCATTGTAAAGTGTTCTAGCCTGTATGAACATTGTTTTGCGAACAGTAATTAAGTTTAAACTAATGAAACTACTGATACCTCTCACCAAGTCACCTAAGGGACAGTTCAACATTTTTAGACCACAAATAACAATAACTGTAGTGACCCTATGTTTATAAACGTGGATATTGACTTTTTCACTTCAGCATGCTTTTGTGGCACTGTCGATGCCACACAGGGCTACGGGCCAGAAGGTTGAGGGTTCGCAGACCACCACGGATGAGCTAACTCTCCCTGCCTGTTTCATTAGACCTATAATACGAAAGAGCCGGCTGCAGACAATTACTTGCTAGGTGGAAATCTGATTTTCAACATTTTGATGCAATATTTATAGTTATATGAAATATATGCAACGAATTTTCCACCAACAGGTTTCTGTAGAAATGCACCATAACCAATAAGCAAAGCATACAGACTTCGGGCGCTTCAACATGGTTTGCGTTTTCAACAGCACAATCTACACAGTTTGGATGCTGGAATGATATACTGAACAAAAATATAAACGCAACATTCAACAATTTCAACGATTTTACTGAGTTACAGTTCATATAAGGAAATCAGTTAATTGAAATAAATAAATTAGCCCCTAATCTATGGATTTCACATGACTGGGCAGGGGCGCAGCCATGGGTCGGCCTGGGAGGGCATAGGCCCACCCGCTAGGGGGCCAGGCCCAGCCAATCAGAATGAGTTTTTCCCCACAAAAGGGCTTTATTAAAGACATAAATACTCCTCAGTTTCATCAGCTGTCCGGGTGGCTGGTCTCAGACGATCCTACAGGTGAAGAAGCCGGATGTGGAGATCCTGCGCTTGCGTGGTTACACGTGGTCTAAGGTTGTGAGGCCAGTTGGACGTACTGTCAAATTCTCTATAAAGACGTTGGAAACGACTTATGGTAGAGAATTGAACATTCAGTTCTTTGGCAACAGTTCTGGTGGACATTCCTGCAGTCAGCACGCCAATTGCACGCTCCCTCAACTTGAGACATCTGTGGCATTGTGTTGTGTGACACAACTGCACATCTTAGAGTGGCCTTTTATTTTCCCCAGCACAAGGTGCATCTGTGTAATGATCATGCTGTTTAATCAGCTTCTTGATATGCCACACCTGTCAGGTGGATGGATTATCTTGGCAAAGGAGAAATGCGCACTAAGAGGGATATAAACATTTGTGCACAAAATTGTAGAGAAATACGGTTTTTGTGCGTATGGCAAATTTCTAGGATATTTTATTTCAGCTCATGAAACATGGGACCAGCACTTTACATGTTGCGTTTTATATTTTTGTTCAGTATATTTTGGAAGAACGTGCGCAGGTAGCCTACAGGAGACTTTTGAACTAGCCTAATCAGATTAAAACTTTGTGACTGGTTGTGTTTATGCCACACATAAAAGGAAATACATTTTAAAAGTGAAGCGACTGGCCACATTATTATCAGTAGCGGTGCGTGGGTAAAATCACTGGGGAAGCAAACCCCCTCCCATATTACAACCTATGTGTTGTGATAATTGCATTGTTTGCTCTATAACCTGTTAATTCATATGCCTTGCGACCGTGATATATAGGCCTAACGGCTGAGACAATAAGAAGACACAGTGGCAGGATAAATGGTCATGTAAGTTAATGTTTCCGACATTTTTGGACCACTAAACAAGTATTGATTTAGAACCACAGAGAGTTACCGCGAGTCGCAAAGAAAACAGGAGCTGCTGCCACTATTCCAGCACCATTTCAACTTCAACATTTCAACATCATCAAATCACCTCTGCTTAGTCTAATACAGTGACAACTAAAATATATCAAAAACCATTTAGTTCAATCAACATAAGCTAAATATGATGTGGCTGTCCATGGCTCTGATTTATGTGTGCGTGCGTGTGCATGCGTTCGTGCAAGTAGAAAAACATGTTGACTCACCCTACTTGTAGAGAAATGCCAATGCCATCCTCCTCTCTTTCATGTTGACGAAACGGTGTATCACTCTGTCATACAGTACACGCTTTTATTTTTTGTTGTCCTAGGCTACCTGGCTAAAATGCTTGCTCACTAACCTAACTTCCATTCATGGGCAACGTTAGCTACTTAACATTAGCCTTCTACATCTAGCTACATATTGAACTTCCATCCTCTCAGGCCAGGGCCACAACAATGTATGAATTTATGGTTGGATCAGAATCGCCGTTATAATCGTTGGCCAGTACGGAGAATTAAGTAAAACCACAAGTCCAAATCCCTATCTCCATCCATGGCTAATTTAGGAAAGAACCAACTTTAGCTAGCTAGCTAGCCACCTGAGGAAAACAACACAACGAGATGCAACAATTCAAGTTTTTATGTCAATGACGTATGCTGTCAATGGGATTAGATAGGAGTGACGCCAAATCCAAACTGGCTTCCCTTGACACTTTCTTTTGGTATGCCAGGACCATTCAC